TTAGGTTTCCTCAAGAACTACATCCAGTTGTACATAGCGCTCATCTCTTCCATTCAACAGGTGAGGTTCTGGCCCATGTGCCTCCATTACATGAAATCAGGATAATGACTCTCCCCATCTAGCATGGCCGTTTCAGTAATCCTGCCAAAATTTTGGAATGTACTGTCCAGGGAGTCCCACTGAGGTTCCAGTACTATATCCACCTTCCAAGAAACCACTTGGCTTTCTATTAAGTCCTTTAGGCGCTATAGATTGTATACGAGTGTGGGTAACTGATCAATTATATCCTCCTGGGTCCTTTTTTGTTTGTTTCGTTCTGTGTGATATACTTTCTATCTCATACATGGATATGAGTACATCAGTAACTGGGAAATTAAAAAGAGGAGGAGGCCAAAGGCATCATACTATTGGAAAGAGCCACGGATGCTAAGAACAGCCTTCTTGGAGGTAACCACAATTTGCACGTTGATTCACTTTTTCTTCTCCCTCCTTTTTTAAATTTGAAAAGGAACTCAGTGTTGGATAAAGCTGTATAGATAGTGGACCACTGGGAAGTTGCCCCTTTCAAAGATGGCTTAATACCTATGTGTGTGTTTTGGGAGGGATCATGCCTTGAATATATAGGGATTTTTAAAAAAATGTTTAATTGCAAAGGAAATTATGATTAGGGAAGAATTTTACAGTATCAGTTCCCAAACTGGAACTTAGTATTTAAGACAAGTTTACCTCAGTGTTCAAATGAGTTTTACATCTTTCTCCATGAGGATGTTTTTGTTTTTCTTCTCTTATATGCACTTCATGCTGACAAACAAACAAGGGGCTATGATCTACATAATTAAGTCAGAGCCTTGTGATAGCCAAAGGGCTCAGAAAGGTACCTGCATAAAATCTGAGCCCATAATGAATTTGTCAATGTTTAGAAAGTGCTGCAAGATTCTTTGGTTCCAAAAGACTAACATGGATACTTGTCTGCAGTTCTGAGATTATTAACATAGAAATAATGAAGCCGAAGATTCATTCAGAAACCTAATGTTTTTCTACAGCTGAAACAGATGAAATAAGAAACAGCTGATTACTGGGATATATTGAGGGGCATTAAAGAGAGAGCAGTAATTAAATACTTATGCGTCAAATTATACTTGATTGGATTACCTGACATAAAATAAATGCAAGCAAAATAAAATAGTGAATGAAGGCAGAATTAATCACAGTAAACACAGCAAAATAATAAATGAACTATTAAGCATGTGCAGACTTTGCTAATTGTGTTAACACATGGATAAGTGCATAGATGTTACAGAGCTAGGGACTGGAGGCTGAAATGGATCTGTTTTGCACATCATAGTCAACATAGGTCATTTTCAGTCTTATGTGTTATCATACAAACACAGGAAGTTCCCATATGAAACATAGATGTTACAGAGCTAGGGACTGGAGGCTGAAATGGATCTGTTTTGCACATCATAGTCAACATAGGTCATTTTCAGTCTTATGTGTTATCATACAAACACAGGAAGTTCCCATATGAAATCAGATTAATACCAACTCAGTACAGCACTCAGAAAAGCTGTCTTTTGCACTAGAACTCCCAAACACTGTCCCATCACCATGGTCGACAGGAGTTGGGAAGAGTCCAAAATAACTTTTCCAAGCTTTGGTCCCATATGTTCCAACTTTGAATGGGAGTATCCCTTTATAGTTTTGGGCAGGCAGAGCTCCTCATCACCCACCATGTGAGATCCTATCCTGAGCTTCCTGCCTTATCAATGAAAAGTATACTTGATTGGATTACCTGACATAAAATCAATGCAAGCAAAATAAAATAGTGAATGGAGTGAAGGCAGAATTAATCACAGTAAACACAGCAAAATAATAAATGAACTATTAAGCATGTGCAGACTTTGCTAATTGTGTTAACACATGGACAAGTGCATAGATGTTACAGAGCTAGGGACTGGAGATTGAAATTGATGTTTTGCACATCATGGTCAACATAGGTCATTTTCAGTCTTATGTGTTATCATACAAACACAGGAAGTTGCCACATGAAATCAGATTAATACCAACTCAGTACAGCACTCAGAAAAGCTGTCTCAAGTCAAGACCCCACTGTAATACCTACTCAGTACAGCACTCAGAAAAGCTATCTTTTGCACTAGAACTCCCAAACACTGTCCCATCACCATGGTCGACAGGAGTTGGGAAGAGTCCAAAATAACTTTTCCAAGCTTTGGTCCCATATGTTCCAACTTTGAATGGGAGTATCCCTTTATAGTTTTGGGCAGGCAGAGCTCCTCATCACCCACCATGTGAGATCCTATCCTGAGCTTCCTGCCTTATCAATGAAAAGTACAAGAAGCTCTGTGACTTGTTATGGGCCCTTCTATGCAATGGCTCAGCAGCCAGGGCCATTTGCTATATGAACTATGAAAGAAGGAAACTGTATAGCTAGGGTGGTTGAGAATTGACTCCATGTGGCTGCCTAACACTGGTCAGTAGCACGCTGTTCCTATGACAGACATTTCTCTGGACAGTAATGGAAACAAGCTAGACCATATACTGTAGATGCTTAGTTTTATGTATCAAAGCATTTGTGTTCTGAACTTCTAGCTGTCAGAAGCATTGGCAGAATTATAAAGACATTGGCCCCCAGCTCCCATCAGCTGCAACCAGAATGGCCAAAGTAAAGGATGATACTAGTTTAGCGACATCTGGAAGGAGCAGCTTCCATGGCTTGGTCTAAAAACTAAAGATCTCACAAGAGATCTAAAAACATAGCAAGTCTTAATTTGGATTGGGCTGCAATAGGATTTCACCCTAGAAGCAGTATAAAATACTAATGTACAGCTTTGGAAAAGAATTAAGAACAATTGCACTTGAGCACAATAGTACAATATTTCTCTAGCTATTGACAAATCAGTACACCAGCAGTCACAAGCTGTCTGCACAATAAGTGTACTGTGCCCATACCTACACAGAGCTAAAGATCTTCTCCCAGCAGTCACAAGCTGTCTGCACAATAAGCGTACTGTGCCCATACACAGAGCTAAATATCTTTTATGCTACATTCACAACTAAAACCCACAACTGTACAAAGACTACAATCAAGGACTGATGTACTTTTGTTAAGCACTTAAATATTAAAATCAGGCAAGCTTTCAACTCCAACTGGATCTTTCTTCAGGCTGTGCATTGCCAACCCTGGGGTGGCAGGAGAAGAAACAGAAAAGGTGGGAAACCATCCTAACCAGAGGTTGCTGTGTCAGGACCCAGGTTAAACTGTTAGTTCAAGATGGAGGCTGCAAAATGTTGTATCAGCCTGAAGTACCAGGTTTCACCTCAGGCAACACAAAACCAATTGTCTTCCCCCCGTTCACCTGGTACGCTCTCAGTTCCCTATCAGTTTGGCTTTACTGACTACAACTTATGGGTTTTCTGGTCCAGAAAGCTAGGAAGGCACCCTAGAGCCACACTTGACAGTAACACAAGGGCCAGTGGAATAGGTTTGGAGGAAGAAGAGAGGGCGTAACTATCTTAGAACCAGGTATCTGCAAGTAGCAGAGCTTGTAACTTTCACAGAAGCCAACTGATGGCTGATAAGATCCTAGCAGAAGCCCAGAGGGTTTACATCCAAGCATAGGAAAGGGTCCCTTAAAGCAACTCTTCCAAGTGCCAGGAAATTGCTCCAGCCTGGTCCCCAAAAGTAGAAGCCCTTTAGATACGTAATTGTTCTGGCTTTGTAGTTCCCTATCAGTTTGGCTTTACTGACTACAACTTATGGGTTTTCTGGTCCAGAAAGCTAGGAAGGCACCCTAGAGCCACACTTGACAGTAACACAAGGGCCAGTGGAATAGGTTTGGAGGAAGAAGAGAGGGTGTAACTATCTTAGAACCAGGCATCTGCAAGTAGCAGAAATTGTAACTTTCACAGAAGCCAACTGTAGAAGTCTTACACCTGGACCAAAAAGAACTGGAGCATATTTCCCTGTATGGTATTTGCCACATGACTGCCAGGTAATAGGTCACACCAGACCATTCCAGAAGTGGTCCAGATTGTGATCTATTTCCTCATTTGATCAAAATCCAAGTTGCAATTACAGTAAGCCGATTTGAAGGAGATGCCGTTCTGTCCCTTCAGCGCTGCCTGGCGGCTGTAGATGCAAAACGGGCTGAGGCTGAACCCGGACAAGACGGAGGTGCTGAGGGTGGGTGTCCCCACAGTGGGGGGTTTGGGAAACTCCCTCTCCTTTGGGGGGGTGATCCTCCCTGCCAAGGATGGGTCAGCAGTTTGGGGATCCATCTGGACCCGGCGCTAACTATGGAATCCCAGGTGGCGTCCGTGGTCCGAACCGCCTTCTATCATCTTAGGCGGATAGCCTAGCTGCGGCCCTATCTCGATGTGGGGGCCCTCACTACCTTAGTACATGTGCTCGTAATCTCAAGATTAGACCACTGCAACGCGCTCTACGTGGGGCTGCCTTTGAGGCTGCTGCGGAAATTACAGGTGGTGCAGAATGCTGCGGCCAGACTCCTTAGTGGTGTGAAAAAATACCAACATATTTCACCCACTCTGGCCGCACTGCATTGGCTGCCCATCCGGTTCTGCATCGACTTCAAAGTGTTGATGCTTACGTATAAAGCTCTAGATTTGATTTACTATGCTAAGTAACAGGATTTCATTCCTTGTCTTCTGTGAATGGAGCAGCCTTCCTATACGTAAGGAAAAGGTTTTCCTTAGCCTTTATGTCTGAAATCCTTTAAAACTGGATACTTGGGACCTTTACACCAGAATGTCATATGTCTCACTAGTGATCAATACCTAGCTTTGCATAGATTTGGGGAGATTTGGCAATTGTATTGTGTGCCAGCATAGGTTATTCTGCTTTTAACATGTGTTGGTTTCTTCAGCTTGTTAAAACAGAATCCCCTCCAGAATGGCATGAAATAACAAAGAAAGAACAAGAGACGCACAGTGGCAGGTCATAAGTAAAAACCCTGTTATTATAGAAGATTTTGAGGTGTTCTTAATCTGTGTCACAAAAGGCTGGGCAGCAAGGATGATTTTACTGGCAGCATGGTAAAGATATTTTCAAAATCTGTTAAAAATGTATACAGAAGGTCAAAGCATGATGATGGGAGAGGGATACTTCTCAAGATTTACAAACAGTGACCACTAGAGAGTTACAGTGTGGAACAGTCTGGGATATAGGAAAGAATCAAAGAAAAGAGGACGGCACCAGGAGGAAAAGGACAAGATGAGGTTTCCATGGTACTGCGAAAGGATCTTGTTGACAAGTGCACTGGGCTTTGGTGGATGGAATCAGCTTTGTGTCATTTTCTTGAGGTCCTGCAGAAATGGTACTCATCCTCACTCTTGCATGATACCTTTGCAAAAGAAGAAGAAATGAAAAATGCAGTTAAATCAAGGCTGCTATTTGGAATAAGACATCCGTCCTGAAATCCAGTGCCATTGGGAAGAAAGGTGACATAGGCTGGAATCCAAGCATCTTCTTAGGATGAGATGACACAAGAAGAGAAATGCAAAGTGATCCACTATGAATTTGCACCTGGGAAGCTGGGTTTCCTGAGTGAATTCACATTTGTGAATCATGCAGGAGTCAGCAGAAAGAGCAGAGCAAATTTCCAACCTGCATCTTTTAGCACCTTGTTAAGGTGGTTCTACTTCAGCCATTCATATTAGCAGAAGGCACAGCTATTGCAGAGCTAGCTGAACAAGCTGCAAACAAGTGCTGGGTGCCAATTTCCTCCCCTCTGCCAATCTCCTCATCACTTGCTTTCCTCCTCTTTGTTTTCTAGCTGTCCTAACGAACCAGGACTGTCACCATGCCTTTAAAAAATCATTTAGAGACAAAGGAGTGCTCAGTTGAGGCGAACTAACACCTCCACAAGTTGAGGGGAACCGACACCCCATTGACACCTTCTTTGTTTCCTCTCTCCCCACCTTAAGTTAGGAAGCTGGGAGAGCCAGCTGCTGGTTGCCCACTGCATTGGCTCAAATGATCACGCCATCTGAACTGATGCAAATGTATTTGATTTTAAATAACATAGCAGCCCCAGTGGCAGAGGGTGAAAATATAGATGGTGGAGACCTGGGCTTATTCGCACTGACTTGAATTGATTGTCAGTAGAAAATAATATAGATCAGACAGTCCCAATCCCACAGCACTTCTCACATTATAGTCACAGAATAATTGACTTGAAAGGGGACTATAAGGCGATTGAGTTGAACACCGCTTAGTGCAAAAATCCAAATCAAAGCAGATCTGACAGATGGTTTTCCAATTTTCTCTTGAATGCCTCCAGTGTTGGACCACTCACCACCTCCCAAGGTAATTGGTTCCATTGTCATACTGCTCTAATAGTTATGAAGTTTTTCCTGATATTCAGAGAACTGAGGGGATACAGTGGACCCTCGACTTACAGACGGCTCGACTTGCAGACTTTTCGAGTTACAGACTTCTCTGGCTGCAAAATTTAGATGCCTCCAGTGTTGGACCACTCACCACCTCCCAAAGTAATTGGTTCCATTGTCATACTGCTCTAATAGTTACGAAGTTTTTCCTGATATTCAGAAAACTGAGGGGATATGTGATAGTTTTCAAATATTTAAAGGGTAGTCATACAGAAGAAGGGCAGAATCTGTTCTCGGTCAGCCCAGAGCACAGGACATGTAATAATGGGCTCAAGCTACAGGAAGCCATGAGATCAAGAGAGCTCTACATGTTTATGCTTTAACAGCTGCCTTCCCTACCCACTATGGCAACTATTTTTGAAACTGAACAGCATTTTAAAAGCAGTTTGTAATATAGGCTGGGATAGGGACCAGCTCTTGTGTTCTGCAAGCAGAGTTTAAAAACACAAAAAATCGCTGAGCTAGTCCAATGTTTTTGAGTGAACAGCAACTGCAATGACATATAAATAGTGAGCTTCTGTAGCCGTGAGGATTTGAATCCTGTTCTCCCGATTCCTAGTCCATCACTCTATCCACTACAGCACACTCTGTATCACCCAGGCTGAAGCTACACTACTGCAGTAAAGCAGGGAAAGTGTAGTTGCTGCAGGTTAGCTGCAAACAGCTCCTGACCCCACGAGTAATACACCTCTCAAATGGCAGTATGTTTTTTCTTTGCTTTAATCTGGAATATTGATACACATAGTGGGAGATGCCACACTGTGGGTGGATGTGCACACTGTTGCTGTGGGCGTGTCAGGGGCACAATGTCACTTGAGAGGAACATAGTGCCCTTCCCTTTCCTCCTTTTAATTTTTTTTAGCTTTGAAATATTGTCTTCCACTTAATGTAGCAGTTTTTTAAAATTAATGAATTAAAATTATAAAGAGGTGTTTATGCCCATTTGCAGATGTTCAGTTGCTTCCCTTTGCCCCCAAGCCTGTCTACCTACCTGTGTACAGTAAAATAAATTAATGCTTTTAGGATGAGGGGCAGCCTCCCCTTTGCAACCCCAGCAGAAACCCATGCAGTTACACACAAGAGACACATTGCACAAAGGATGGATTGCTTAGGAAAGTTATTGATTCCACTTCATTATTATCTCTCCCTCTTCCCATGCCTCTGTCATCTCCAGGAGATCCACCAAACCTTCAGGAGGCCACAGCATGCCACAACTCCTAGATGAGACAACCACTGTCTACTGTGGCCACAAATCATCAAATAAGCAATTTTAAATATAGTTTTTAAAAACAACAACAACTACACACCCACATGTGCAAAAGGAGGCACAAAGGGGGGGAAGGAAGGAATCAAAGACGTGACAGTAGTCAACGGAGGAGCAAGGTGGTGGCATCAAATGGGGTGCGTGGGGAAGGGGAGGGCAGAGAACTGGTGGGAAACAAAGGGGCAGACCTATACTGCCCGAACAGCAAACTAAATATTCCGGAGTGGAAAGGGACTGGATTGGATGCCCTTTTGAATGGCTGTCTGGCTTGCCGTGGGCTGACAGGAGCTGCTGTGGATTCGATTCAGTTTGAATAGTGGACAGTGTACTTTCAGCTTTTATCTAGCTAATTAGTACTATCTAGCTAATCACTACTTTTTCAGAGAGTAGGGAAAGTTGCTTGATGTTCAGTGCTCAGGCCTAATGGGTGTAGATCGGTAGTTTTAAACCACTTGGCAATACGCGATTTTCTCTTCTCTTCCTTTGCCTCCGCTTTTGTTAACCAAGTTAGCAAGATGTAAAAGCCCTTCTAGTGCCCTCCTTGGTCAATTCCACCTTGTGCATGAAATAACATGGCTTTTGGCCCTATTATGTACTTTTTTGCCTTGTGCTTTAAAATGCTTCTCACTAGCAACATGAAACATCTTTTTTTAAAAATAAGGTTTGCATCTGCCCATCCCTGCTCCATGGAAAAGATGCATTCGGACTGCTAGCCACAGCTGTGTGGTTTCTTTGCTAGACAGATTGCTGGTTAATAGCTCAGAATGAGTAGGTCCTGGAACAATGTTGCAGGGGAATCCTGGGTGCTCAGAAAAGGCCCTTCCTGGTCTTTGGTCCCTCTCTTCTTCCCTTGTTCTGGATGCTGGCACCATCTGTTTTGCCCTATTTTTGGTATTCAGAGAGTTGCTAGCCTCTTTTTTCCTTTTTGAAAAACTGTGTATGTGTTTCTACAGATCTCAGGATTACTCCTGATCAACGAATGCACTTCTCTTTTGTGTGGATGATGTTCATAATCATAGGCATCCTTCAGTCTCGAGAGACTATGGTAACATGCTCTGTATCAAGAAGTGTCCTCTCCAGAGCATGAAGCCTGGGTAAAGTAGTATGGAGGATAGGCTGTTACCCAAGCAGCAAATCCCCCCTCTCCACGTTGATGATGTTATGACTTAAGGATTGTCACTCACCCCTCAACATCACTAATAGACAGAATGACAACCAACCGATGTTTCCTTCAAGAGCTTAAAAAGATCATTTCCTGAATGCTGGGGACATGGAGAAACTGTGTTTTGGTGTACTTCAATGGATACCCATTAAAGCTTGGAGGACATGAGACGCACATCAGCTAAGGAAGAGACAAACAGAATTTCCCATTTCAAAATAACTGGAGAATTCCTGCCTAACGTTGGCTAAAAGCAGGCAAATAGATCAGGGTCTGCCTGCTTATGACTGCTCATTTGGGATCTCTGTTGCTGTTCCCTGGGAAGCAGGGCTTCCTGAGAAAAAACATGTGGATCAGTGTGGCCATTTTCTTCTCAAACAGGACGCTGTGCTCCTATGACTAAGGTGCAAATCTGCCTCTCTCAGCGTAATCACCAAGGGAAAAAAAAGGCATGAACATCTGCATATACCTCTGTTTATGGAACCTTTACATTGGTGATGTTTTGATCCTGCCTTTCTTACCTTATTCTGCATTTGGTGGGAACTTTAGGTCGCCAAACGCGGTGAGTGTTCCCTTGTTGTCTTCTATTGGATTCTCTAAAATGAGAATACAGAGACAGTTGGCATCTAGCATAGACATTCCTGTAGTTCTTCTCCTAACAACATTATAATATACATCAAGAACATCTCCATTTTAAAAGGTCATGTTACAATTCCTCTCAGACCATTGCACTTAGAAGAGCCACAGTGGATCATCAGGCCACAGGCCTCTCATGTCCACTGTCCTAATTACCTCAGTGGCTGGTCAGATGCTTCTGGGGCTTAAAGACAATAGCCCTGTTCTGTGACTGTTAACCCAGCAGCAGTTACTCAGAGGCTCCCTGCTGCTAAGTAAATTCCCAACCAATGAGCTCTAACATGCGTGACCTCTGCCCACCTCTCAAGTATAGGCTTCATGGATTTTCCTTGTAGGAAGGAAACCAGAGATTCCAAAGACACTGTTTGAGGGCCATCAGCTCTGTGGTTGCCCACTGAGTGATGAGGTGAAGAGCCCTGTGAGGAAAACTGAAGGAACGAGTATTTTCAGCCCAGAGAAAAGCAAATATGAAAGCTGGTGAGGGAAGAAGTACTTATGGCAGACTCTTTTGCTGCCTTTTCATTTGTCATGGGGATGGAACAAAGATTGGCAATTGCTTCCATGTGGTAATGACAACTCCAGTCTTGACAGTACAGGAAACATAGTAATGTTCAACCCCTAAGTGCTTCTCTGACCTGCTCTCTAACCCTTGGCCCAGGTGTTCTTGAGTGCTATATTTCTCTGGCTGTGCTCCTGTGACTTTTATGCATCCTGGCAATCAAGTCAGCAAAAATTATGCCTTGAGTATAAGTATAATGTTTATTGCACCAATCAAAGATCATGGCAAGATAAAACAGTCAGGCTGACATAAAAAAACCAATAAAAACAGCTAAAATTAGGGCAAGAGACGTAATAGGTACCTTTAAGTCAGTACCTTAGACACCTTTGAAACAATATTTATAAGACAGATTAATCAGTTACGGGTGATATTTGACTGTGATTGTATTATGATACACCAACATTTGAGAGTTTATCAGATTAAGTTCATGCCGTTATATTTTCAGAGCTCAGTACCAGTTGTATGCCTTGAATAATGGCCTTCAACCACCTTGCCTACCAGTAAAATGCTTAGTCACTTCTCGGGGTCTCACATAGAAGAACAGGATTGTACAGGCTCTTCCTTTTTTAAAAAAATATATGAAAAAACAAAATCTGCACCACAAGATCCAGATGTTATAAAAAAGCTGGCTGCTACAGCCTTCATAAATTATGCAAATTATGCATTTTTCTTTCTTTGCAGAGGTCTGTTTTGTTCTGGAGCATACCCTATTCTGCCCCTATGGAAGTCCATATAATTGACAATGAAAACTTTGCTCAGCCACATCCGCTCTCTCCCATGTTCTGAACTGCCCAATCACATAGACCTTGACAACCATAAGGACCAGAAACATGTTTTGTTTTATTTTTGAATGATAGTCAAGATTCTCAGGAAGCTCTTCAAGTTGTGTTTTGCACCATTCAGTGCCTATACATAATTTTAATATACAGAAAACCCTACCTAGAGTGGGATATCGGAGTTGGATTAATTCTTACAACTCTCTCAAAAGATAAGAGAGGCAGGTAAGAAAGTCTCTCTTGTCTTACACAAACCCAACACCTCACCTGCCTACTTACCAGACTCTGTGGTTCTTTTCCCCATGAGTCCAACAAAGAAGTCATGCATGTCTCCTACAGAGACACAAAGGGAGAATCTCCGGATAAAAATGTGAAAAAAGAAACAACAACTGCATTTTAAAGAATGGCTCATAAATCTATGTAGTAAAGTGGATTTCCAACTTTGCGCCCCCCCCCCCATGTTTTTAACTTCATCTGCAAGAAGTCCTCAGCCAAAATGGTTAATGGTCAGGGATTCTGGGAGCTGAAGTCAAAAACAACTGAAGGAATAAAGATGGAGAACCGGTGATGTAGCAGTTACACACATTTCTGAAACATCTTAAGATAGGGGTAGACCATCTTCAGAGGTCTGGGGGCCACATATACCCATCCCTGGATGCCTGCATGTGCTCCCTCAATCCACATCCCATCCTGATTTTTTAAAAATGGGGTTTCTTCCCTGCAAAAGTCCTCTGGCATCCTTAAGTGGCAAAAATAATTTTTTTATTTTTTTTTTAAATTGGAAGTATCTAGAGACAAAATTGCTTTTGTATTACCTGGGGGTGCAACAGGACTTCTTCAACCCAATCTGTTCTTTTCGGGGTGGGGCAACTAGAGAGCTGCATCTGGGCCGGTGGGGGCACATGTGGCCCGCAGGCTCAATCATCCTTACAAAGCACTGTGGTTAAGTGGATTTGCTACAACTTGAGTAGAGCTTGTATGGAGATGCAATCAAAACCATTTAATTGGGGGCAGTAAGTGCATAAAACTGCAATCGAAATCATCTGAATTGTTCCTTTTCTGCCTGGTGTGCGTAATTGTTGACTCTCCTGATGTTCTGGACTTTGACTCACATAATCCTTTACCATGAGGAGATTTTTTTCCGAGGCTTCTGTGAGTTTTCTACTCTTGACATAAGGTACTGTCAGGATAAGGCAGGGGTAGGGAATACAGAAGCCCTCCAGACCATTTGGACTTATGACCAAAGTGTTCCAACCCCTGCCCTACTCAGAGAGTGCTTTTATATAAAGAGTAGGAAACTGCTCTTTCTTCTTTCTCCACGAGGCCATCCCTTGCATGCTGTCCTCAGCTTCACCTGCCACACATCTCCACTTCTTGTCCCTGTCATTTTAACAGCTGCTTCCATCACTCTTTCCCACAACACCACTGGGAATCCGAGCTTCACTGAAAGTACTGGCCTACACCGGTCAAATGTGCAAATAACCAATGCTATAGGGAGAAGTGGAAGACAAGAGGGCCTGGCATGCTCTGGTCCATGGGGTCACGAAGAGTCAGGCAGGAGTAAACGGCTAAACAACAACAACAGGGAGAAAAGATGGAACAAAGAACCTCAAGAGGGAAAGACATAGGTGGCTGGAGATTGAAGCATAGAATAAAACTTTAGCTTTTTTTAAAAAAAGAAAAGAAAAGGCAAGTTTAAAAAGCATAATTTAAAAGTGTAACTCTTTCCAGTTCAGACACCGCTCCCCCTAGAAACTTACTAATCCATTTTAAACAAGCCCCCACCTTTTCACTTTATTCCTTCTTCTAACGGCAAGGCTGCTTTTAGCCATCTTTGGGAGCAATCTTTGCAGCAGAAGCAAAGTGCACGACAGAGAGACATTTCAAAGAGAGAAATAATAAGTTGACTTACGTTTCTGGGAAGGGGCAAGGGCCTGGGGATCTGAAAAAGAAGAAGGCCATTAAAACACATGGCAGAAACCCATCATCACACCCAGGTCAAAGTCACGGTTACTTAGCAGGGGGGCTACAGCATGGAGTACTGATCAGGATGATTTTCTGGGGATGTGCAATGGGCTTTGGTTTGGGTTTTGCTGAAAGGCTGCAATGTTTCCATGAACACCTTTGGGAGGGATCACATGTCACTGGCAGGCATGGACAAAACTTGTTTTTTCACCCCAAGTACTCTCCCTTAAGGTTTTTCCTCACCATATTTAATAGGAACAGAATCACTGACATCATGTACACATTTTTTTTCTTCCTGGCCCACTGGCTCAGTTGACCTTGTTTTCTGAGCCATTTCCCTATTAGCTCATTCTCTCTCTTCCACAGCCTCTCTCAAGAATGCTCCCCAATTCCATGTTCCATCCGCCTCCAATCTTCATCCTGTATTATTTGCTCCTCTATCTTGTATGGGTCTTTATTCAAATCTTACACACTTTGAGAGTTTATCATACCACCAAAAAACAGGAGATGCATCTGCAGTCACATTCTAAACTCATTCTGGAAGTTCTCCCATGTCAAAATGTATAAAAAAGTAAACTCATTCCATTCCCCTCCTTTCTATTCTATGTGTAGCTTCAAAAGAAATAAGGAAATACTCCTGACTCCAAAACGCAGCAGACATAAACCCAAGAGCCAGAGAAAGAAGTATATAATTCCTAAAATTTTAATAAATACACCATTGACATATGAGTAATCACACAGAAATAAGAAACAGTGTGATAGTGTTATTTTATCCAAAGTTCACCCATACATTGTTTATTATTTCTACTTGGGATTACTCATGTTATTGCTATAGTTATAAATATTTTAGGATTTCTGTGTTTCTTTCCTAAACTCTTGGGTTTATGTCAATTATGTGTAGATTGTCCAGCATTTTTCAGCTAATGTTTTCGGTGCTATAGCACATTGCCCGCTCACCCATATAGGAAGAGGAAATCCTTAGCCTCTTCCATTCTACCATATGCCTTCAGCTCACCCTCTCCAAGAATGCTGACTGCTACTATAACCATTAATGTCAAGACATGTGTTTGAAGGGGGCACAAGAAAATATCCCATTACAAACATTCACATAATAAACATATCTTGAATTATTTGTATGGCAATTTTAGTTTTCTGTCTATGGTGAAAGTGCTATAGGGTTAGGGCTGCAGTGGGGGGGGAAACATACCAATTTCTTCTTTGCCCGACAGTCTGAGCAATGCCTCATAGGAAATTCCTTGGCCATCATACAATCGGCGGAGCAATGATGGAGGCAGTTTATAAAGATCTGAGCTCTTCTGCTGGAAAGAGAAGAGGCAATCTGGCATCCGAAAGAGCCAAAGCTACTGCGGCACAATGCAAGCAAAACAGCTAAATCTTCCCCAAAGAAAGAATTCTCATTTCCATCTACATAAGCTTTTACAAAGGCAGGTCCGGTTCTAATAGGGAAATATTTTTAAAAATATTTCCTTTGAATGCAGTTACAGTACATATAACGGCCTTCAGAGTTATTCTGGCGGATTGGTTGAAGGTGCCAATGCTAGAATATAGCTTTCCAACACAATTCAGAACAGTTTTCCAACACAATCAAGCTAAACTCCAGACTGCCCACCTATCACAAAAATGAAAATTATTTCTGTAAGAATATAAATGTAGTTGAAGGCATTTGAGGGAACAGTACCCCTGCTAAACATCTCTAAATACCGTAGGATATTATATTTTTCTCATTCCATATCATTTATGCTAATATGAGCAGGGAAAACAGTGAATGCAGGATGATGAATGTTGGTACCGCCCAATGGTTTGGAATAATCTTTCCATAATTTCTTGCTATCGACCATATTGGATGGGGTTACCTGGAAATGCTGAACCCCAGAAGTCCTGAAAGGACAATGGCACAGCAAGAACACCACTCCACTGTTTACACCCCCCCCAAAAAAAGGGACAACAATGGACATTGTTTTGAAGCCTCTCTTGGATCTGGGAGGTAGGATAAAGACCAAGAGCACAGAGGATGCCTCTGCATCTGCCACTCTATTTACTCTGAACGTTCTCCTCCTGTGAGATATGGGGAGGTGAAAAAAATCTGAGAGTCTGTCAAAAATACCGTATTAGGTGTATAAGACTAGCTTGATACCTCACATAACGGCTTTTAACCCAAAGTACGCATAATGACTTTTACCCCACAGAATGTAATGGGCACTGCTTACTGTGGAGCCTCTCAGTTAACAGTTAACTCTCAGTTAACATTAAAATGTTAGCATCATATAGATACAAAATACAATACAATTTATCACACTTTTAATTTGTCACATCCCCACATGAGAGATGCCTTGACTAATTTCATGGAAATTTCAGTATCACCACCTGTGGGAGCTTTGCTATGGGAGATTAGTTTATACTTACGATGTTTGTTTTCTTATTTTGTGATTATTACATTACTTTTATTTTTATGCATCATTTGTGTTCAGTGTTGTCACATATACAGTGGTGCCTCACATAGCGATGTTAATCGGTGCGGCAAAAATCACCGCTAACTGAAAACATCACTATGCGATTTTAAAAACCCCATTGAAACGCATTTAAACCCCTTCAATGCGTTCCAATGGGGGGAAACTTACCTTTAAGCGAAAATCCTCCATATGGCAGCCATTTTCGCTGTCCGGTAAGCGAGGAATCCGTCCCCAAAAAAGAGTGGGTGGCCATTTTTTCCCCGGTGGCCATTTTGGAACCGCCAATCAGCTGTTGGGAAAAAATCGCTATGCGAAAATCGGTAAGCGAAACAGCGTACCGATCATCACAAAGTAATGTTTTACCATTCAAAACATTGTTATGTGATCGCTTTTGCTATCCCGATTTGTCGTTAAACGGGGCGCTCGTTAAGCGAGGCACCACTGTATATGTTTAGATACAAATCTTTCCCCCCAAATCATTGAAACTTTTCCTTTTCCTTTTCAGACTCAGTTTTAAGCAGTAAAAGTAAGTGGCTGTCTCGGGAATGCTGTTTTTATTAAATATAGAGATTTCTAGACATTTCAAAACATCTAGAATATGTTTTTAAAATTGTTTTTAATTTTGGTTTTAATATTGACAAATGTTTAATTACTTTTAATATAGTTTTAAATTCTATTTTAAAAGCTGTGATCATTGTATATATTTAAAACATGTATACAATATGGAGTGTCTGAACACAACACTTAGTGTACTAAGAATTTCAGCAACAAACTCATTATAGCTCCTATAGTCTTGGCAACATTTAGGAAGGGTTAGATACAAAGTGGATTTGATTTAAATCAAAGTTAAGGAAAGGGGCTTAATCCCATTGTTTAAATCATTATTTAAATCAAAGTAAGACTTAAATGTCAAGACTTATTCTTGCTGGTAGTCATAATATTTAATATTTGCAACCAGATGAAGATTTCATATTTAGAATAATGATCAGATTAGTAAAACAGCTATATCAGAACAGATTTTAGTTTAATAAGCTGATCACTCATATTTGGAGAATGAAATTGTTTTATTTAACTTAAAGAATAACATTATATAGCATACATATTCTGCTATTTGCTTAAACATCTACCCCCGTAGAGTGGTTGTAAGACCAGATAGGCGGGATATAAATAAATAAATAAATAAATAAATAAATAAATAAATAAATAAATAAATAAATTGTTAGTTGTTTGTACATAGAACAACAATGGGATTAAGCCCCTTTCCTTAACTTTGTTCATTTTATACCGTTTTTACTGTGAAAAAGTGCATGCTACCTCAGCTCGGATAATTTGAATTAATTGAATTCGTTTACCAAAAATGTAAATAGTGCATACACAGCTGTGTATTCATGCAATATTTACATTTTTTGTAAACTATATAAATAAGTTCTATTACATGCTGAATAAGCTTTAAACTATTGATGTATCTGAAATAGAAAACTATCTTTAGATAGGTGTTTCCTCCAAAAGCATTTCATTAAAATAAATTTGATTTACATTTTAAAAAATTCAATTTAAATTTTAAAGTCCATTTCTTTATTATTTAAAACTAATTCATTTTAATCCACCTTGGTTAGATACAGATTCTGAAACTAGAGTGGGACTAATCAGGGTACCTGCGTTCCCAAGGCAGAACTGTAACACTTTGCATTGATCTCCCTGCAAAATCTGATTTGCTCATCTGCCATACTATGACTTATTCCTTAAAATTACAGGGGGGGAAATCTGAATTATTTGAGAAGCAAATTCTGGGAACAAATTAAGTAAACCATCATACTACACCGACATCCCTGGACAAAACACTCTTCTGATTTTTCATCTATCCCTTTTGCACCTCTTTTGTGAGGAATGTCTGTCGGTAAGTACACAGCAGAGGAAAGAAAGAAAGAAAGAAAGAAAGAAAGAAAGAAAGAAAGAAAGAAAGAAAGAAAGAAAGAAAGAAAGAAAGAAAGAAAGAAAGAAAGAAAGAAAGATGGGGAATTGCTTTGTAAGTGCCTTCACACTGCTGTAATTTTAAGATTTACAGGGGTGGGACTGTAGGGAAGTAACAGGAAGAAACTGTTACTTCCCTACTATAACTGAGATAGAGTAGAATTGGATTTCTTAAGAGCTTTTCATCCTTAAAGGATCTAATTCAGAAGGGATTTGACAAAATCAGTCACTTAAGGCTCCAGCTGAGTCCTGTCCACAAAAGCAATTTGCACCGCATACTAAAGCTCTTTTTAACAGAAATTGGGGTGGTGGGGGCGAGGAAGCTAGCTCATCTCTCTTGGACTTCCTTTTCATACCCATGAAAGGATGTCCCTTTTACATCAGATTAGAGACCCACCTGCACAGGGACAGCATCTTCCATAAGCTTGGAGAACAGAAACGTTGGTTAATTTTGAGCCGGCAAGAAACCATTACAATGCTGTTATGAGCACTGCATCCCATAAACCCTTCATGGCCAAGTCTGTTCATGTGGCGGAGTAAGGTAGTCAAAAGCAGTTGTGGCAGAGATAAATAGTACAACGACGAAGAGGTGCTGTTTTAACATTCCTCATATAAAAATTTTGCTACTAGATATATATATAACCAAACAAAGTACCACATGACGAAGAGGTGATCCAGTGATTAGAATTTAACCCCTGTCCATTTGTTTCCATGCTATATTTATATTCACTGCTGAGAAGTTCTTACACTGGGAGCATTTGGGAACTGGTTATCTCCCATTCTACACAATAAAGTAAAACAGGTCACTATATTACCTCAAGAGCCATCTTATTCTGCTATGTAGGTAGAGCTAGATTGTAGACATCCAGCCTTGCCATGAGGCATACTGGGGAAGCTAATTGGCACAGCAAATAGTCACTTGTTTTTTTTTATGATCGCATTCTCAATGCCATGAAGAAGAAAAGGCAATTGTGAGAATTTTTTCCTCAGCTGCCAAAATAATTTGATACTATGCACCTGGTCTTTGGGAGTAGAGTGTGTGTCAGTTCCTGCTCCACTGAAGATGAATTTTTCTAACAGCGGGTGTTGTGTGTTTTCTTTTTCTTGCTTTGTGAATTTATACAGTGCTTAAATTGTTTTAATTCACTATTTCTTTTTAATTGTAACTCATTTAATTTTGATCTATTGCCTTAAAAAAAACAAGTTTAAGTAAATACCGTATTTTCCGTGTATAAGACAATACTATTATCTAAAATCTTCAGACTAAAAATTGAGGGTCATCTTATACATGGAAGTAAGGTAAGGTAAAGGTTCCCCTTGACAATTTTTGTCCAGTTGTGTTCGACTCTAGGGGGCGGTGCTCATCCCCGTTTCCAAGCCATAGAGCCAGCGTTTTGTCCGAAGACAATCTTCCGTGGTCACATGGCCAGTGCGACTTAGACACGGAACGCCGTTACCTTCCCACCAAGGTGGTCCCTATTAATCTACTCGCATTTGCATGCTTTCGAACCGCTAGGTTGGCAGGAGCTGGGACAAGCGACAGGAGCTCACTCCGTCACGTGGATTCGATCTTGCAACTGCTTGGTCTTCTGACCCTGCAGCACAGGCTTCTGTGATTTAGCCCACAGTGCCACCACGTCCCAATATACATGGATGTAAGGGGGAAAATATATTGTCTCCCTGCTTATTTAACTTATATGCAGAATACATCATGCGGAAGGCTGGACTGGAGGAATCCCAAGCCGGAATTAAGATTGCCGAAAGAAATATCAACAACCTCCGATATGCAGATGATACCAATCTGATGGCAGAAAGTGAGGAGGAATTAAAGAACCTTGTAATGAGGGTGAAAGAGGAGAGTGCAAAACAGTGTCAAATTTTATCTTCCTGGGCTCCATGATCACTGCAGATGGAGACAGCAGCCACGAAATTAAAAGACGCCTGCTTCTTGGGAGGAAAGCAATGACAAATCTTGACAGCATCTTAAAAAGCAAAGACATCACCTTGCCAACGAAAGTCCGAATAGTCAAAGCTATGGTTTTTCCTGTTGTGATGTATGGAAGTGAGAGCTGGACCATAAAGAAAGCTGACCGCCGAAGAATTGATGCCTTTGAATTGTGGTGCTGGAGGAGGCTCTTGAGAATCCCCTGGACTGCAAGGAGAAGAAACCTATCAATTCTAAAGGAAATCAACCCTGAGTGCTCACTGGAAGGACAGATCCTGAAACTGAGGCTCCAGTACTTTGGCCATCTCATGAGAAGAGAAGACTCCTTGGAAGAAACCTTGATGTTAGGAAAGTGCGACGGCAAGAGGAGAAGGAGACGACCGAGGATGAGATGGCTGGACAGTGTCTGCGAAGCAACCAACATGAATTTGACACAACTCCAGGAGGCAGTGGAAGATAGGAGGGCCTGGCATGCTCTGGTCCATGGGGTCACAAAGAGTCGGACACGACTAAACGAACGAATGAAGGGGGGAAAGGGATCAAAGTGCTGCAGGATCGCAGCCATTTGATCCTGCAGCCCTTTGATAGCTGCTTTCCCTGCCACTTCCTAACCCCCTCGGGGCTTAGGAAGTGGCAGGGAAAGCAGCCATGAAAGGGTTGCAGGATCATAGGGCTGCAATCTTGCAGCTCTTTCATCGCTGCTTTACTTCTCCACTTCCGCAGCCTTTTTATCCTGCTTTCACGGGGCTTAGGAAGTGGAGGGGGAAAGCAGCAATTTTCTTATTTGGGGTTGGAAAAGTGGGGGTCGTCTCATATATCGGGTCATCTTATACATGGAAAAATACTTTCAGCCTTTTAACATACACCTGTTCTAAGTCATGCTGCGAACCACTCTCAGTTCTGCAGATGGAATATAAACAAAATGATGATATTTTCCTACATAGAAGGGATAGCCCTGTAGAAAGTCACTGTCTTTGAAGCCGACCTTTTTAACAGGGAACATAGCCACATCCCTAGCTTCTTTTCAACTCTGTTGTTATTCATTAGTCAGTAGCTCACAGGAAAATGGGCAAGGAAGACACTGTGAAGTTCTTACCGTGCTAGAAGAAAGTTCCTGCTGCATCAAACCAAATCTTCCAGTAATTTGGTGTTTGATATGCAAATCTAACTAAGCAAAATGCTTTGGAGCACTCACAGCAAGCCCAAGAGATATGCCCCTTGCACCAAGGAATAATGGAGGAAATGCACTTTTTAGTTTCATGTCTTTTAAAATCAATGTAGGAATGTCTCCTTCACTTATGCTTATTATGGATGATTCATTCAGCTCAGGTTTTCTGCTGCAGAACCCACACGATGACATTTTCTTTCTCTGGTTTTTTTTCTCCCCTAGAAAGCCCACCTCTCCTCTTTACATTTAAAAGATAAATTAAGATATTTCCTCATCATTACCATTACATAGCTTTAGGAATAAAAGTGGGCTGTTGCTTTATATTGCAATATCTGTATTGTTCTGTTTTTGAACTTGTATTGTGGACTTCCGTTTTAAATGTATGAACCCCTCAAAATGAGTTTATAAAATTCCATCCTCAGGTACCTCTGATACATTACTTAAGTACCCTGCTCTGAGTGTCTAGAAAGAAGGAAAAGATACAGATCTGGTGTGCAGAGAGGATAAATAAAAATTTGTGCAAAGGAAGAAATGACAGAATGGGAGGGGTTGGCTGGAAAAGATATCTACTTCACCATCTTGACCATGAACGACTGATGGTGGTGGAACTGTCCACTGCTGCAACATGAAGCTTTCCCTCGCTCTAGCCAATCACAAAGGTAATACAAAGCACCCTCCCAGGGAACACAGGACTGCTCCATAACAATCCTACTGAGTACAACATCTCAAGAGTTCCCAGGAGTCTTCAGACCTACCTCTCCAACATGGTTTGTCCTCACCTTTGTCTGGATTCCGCTAGGCATCTGTTGCTCCTGAGATGCAACGCAGTAGCCATGGCACAGCTCGGCCACGAGTAAGGGCAGCACCACCGTCAGCACAAGGGGGCTCTTCATTTTCTTTTTTTCCTGAGGGAGGGACGGCTTGAGAAGTGGGTGCAATTCAACGATGGGAGGGTGGAAGGTTCAGAAAGAAAAATTGGGAGGAAAATAAAATCAGTTTGGAAAAGGAAAACTACTATGTGTAGAGGGAGCACAGATGAACCAACATATCCCTCACATTGGAAAAATTAACGCACTAGGATAGCAATCACTTTATTTGGAAACCTTAATTAGCACACTGCTTTTTTCACACTTGTAATCTGTGAGAACACCAAATGTCCATCTCCCAGCGCTTTCCTACAACTAAAACTTAACAAAATGGTCAATTAATTTCTGGAGGAGCTGGCACTTCAAAGATGATAGTGCGTCCTCTTGAGAAAAACAACATCTCAATAGCTTACTTGACAAACATGTTTACTTGCATGTACATCACTGGAACACTTGTAACTCCCTTATGGAACAAACATGGACAACAATATATCCAGTTGTACATGTCTTCATATATGCACCAGGCACTCACAGTGAGACTCCTGGTTCCCTTCATTATGACTCTCTGCTTGTTAAGCTACTGAAACAATGGCTTGGTCTAAATAAAGTTGTTAGGTCTAAATAGAGTAGATTCCTTAAATCACTGGAACTTGGTATGTCAATGCCTATGTAGGTTCCATTGGTTCCATAGGTCTTCTTTAGGTGGGATCAATGCTCGGGCTGGACACTGTTACATAAACAATGAATCATCTTATTAACATCATCAACAAGCTTAGAAATAACTAGGCAATGGAGGACACTGGAGGGACTGACAGTAGAAAACTAGGTCAAAAGAATATGGCAGATAGCATTGGTGAAAGAGTTAACATACACCCTTTAAGGTCCAAAATGGAGCAACTAAGACAGGCATTTTGTTTGTTTGATTGTTTGTTTTATAGCTGAATCTACAGAAGAATTTAGGGCAAAAGAACACTGTGTGAATTTCTGGAAAGATATACTGTAAATCAGACACTGATTATGCACTGAATAATAAATGCTGACAGCTGTACCCTTGATGGCAATGCCAACATCAGCATCCACACAGACTTCCTAATAAACAACAATTAGTCTCTGCTGGCTCCTACATCTTGCGTTTAAAGAATGTTGTTTTGTATGAACATTGAGATTTTTAAAAAGAAAAAAGACATGGAGTTGCAGATACAGTATGTCTATATAAATTTCCAAAGAGGAAGCAAATAAGATTGTCTTTACTTTTTTTTCAACATGGTGGTATTACAGAAGGAGATAAATGAAGGTGAACCAAGCCATCATTACAAATATTTCCCTCCACTCCAACTTGCTGATTGTGGAAAGGTATCTTGTTTCTCATATGTAGAAACCTGAAGCCTCACTGTCTGACTGGAACCATGTCGACTTTGGATATAGCACCTGGAAGCTACACATTCTGCTTAGAGCTGTCACATCCAAGGTCAGAATGGCATAATGGCATCCAGCCTCTGGCAGGAAACGAACAAGAATAGTAAAAATTTTCTTATCTTAAATTTCACACTCACTGGTTCAGTGACCCAAGGGTCCTGCTGTAAGTCACCAACCTTGCCCAAGCTGGCCAATCTGGGGAGAAAAATTTCAAATTGATTTGAGCACAAGTCCCAGGATTTAAGGCATCTCTGCCTCTGCCGCTGAATCTGATGACTCAACGTATCCAACCAGGGGCCCAATCACACAAGAGTGTCATATGGGAATCACCGCTGACACCCCTCTCCCTGCTCTGCCCTCCAAATAATGGCCGGTTTAATTTGTTACTGCCCCTGATCTGCCCATCATGCTCCACAGGGAACAGAATAGGGCAGGCAAAAATAACTCAGGCCCCTTTTGTGTAATACACCAATCAGAAACACCAGGCCCAGGGGGCAATCTTTCAAAAGCTCCTATCGCTGCCTCCCATGCTGCATACCTGGTGATACCCGAGCATCACGCTAGCATGCCACGAACTCCTATTACTGGAGCAAGGGAATCTCTTCCTCCTCTTGTCTAGCCACAGAGCAGTTGACATATGGAGGAGGCAATGAGATGAAGTGATCCCAAGGATACACAAGACCCGGACTGTTTGGGGGGTTTACAGGTCAATGTTGCCACTTTGAATGGAGGGAAATACTGTACCTGGAAACCTTCACTACTGTTTCAGCAGAAATATACTATGGCTATGCCAACTCGTATGCCTCATTAAGAGAACAACTTTAGCACTGCCTAAAGTTTACAAAACCTTTATTGGATGGTTTGGAAATTTTAGGGAGTGCTAAAGTTGTTCTCTTACTCAGGCTTATGAGTTGGCATAGCCATAATGACATCCAGCCTCTGGCAGGAAAAGAACGATGAGTTTTCTGGCAAAGTCATTCAGAGCATTTCTCAATAGACCAACTGGAAGGTTTATCTGTTCCTTATGTGAAACATCAGGTGTAGAAACTGATTTTCTCTCCTGAAATTTTTTAATTACCTATATTCATTTTTTAAACGCTTCAAATAAAGGGCCTTGCAAAACCAGCAGTAACTCCCAAATGTAGGTACTAGGGACTCATTAGCTGGAGAAATGAATGTCTCTATCCCTAGTTGAGCAGATGCTTCTGACGGGTGATCAATGTGCAACAACACCAACCAGGACTGTAGCAAGGAGAGCAATGTGTGACTCCCACATGCATCCACTGCTGATATTTTTTCCCCTTTGCTCATTGTCTTCCTAGACAGGTGACAATCAGAAAAGTCCTTCACCACAGCAAGGGGGAAATTAGTACATCAAATTAAAGTCTTAGAAATACAACAAAAGAAATAGCTACAGAGAGAGAGCACTGTGTCTTTTAAAGGCACAGCCAAGAACTGCTCTGCAATTCACTCTGCCTCTGAATGCAGCACAAAAGCAGCCACTAGTGAAAAATGCAGTTTTTGGTTTTTTTTAAGGGACACTTCACGGGGCATGCCTTCACTTTGATTCAACCACCCTGGACATCTGGGACTAGTTAAACATGCTTTAAAGTTTAAAGTCTGAGACATGTGTCCCTTACAAAAAGATCCACCATCTCCTCACATCTTCCCATTCCCACTGGATGACTCATAAAGCATTGATCTGGACATTATCCTTTATGGAAAGGAGAATGAAAGTCACAAGACCAGGATCAGTGGCATCCATACCGTACCTTGCCTATGATGTCTGACTGATTCCTTCTATGTCTTCCTGAAACAAGCAAGACTGCAGCCTGATAAGAAAACTTCTCTACAAGCTGCAATTTTAAACTGAAGCATTAATAACTTCATAAGAATAAAGCTGGCTTTATTCATAAGAATCCCTGTCCCAGTGGGGAATCAAACTCTCATCAAACTCCACAGCAAGCCAACACAACACAAGGGAAATATAGATTTAATCTGATGGCTGCTACTGTCGTAGTTATGTACTGATCTCTTTTTTGTTTCCTGCTGACTCAAGCAACACAACAATTATTTGTTTTTGTCTGGAGAAGCTACAGAGATTTTAACCATGGACCTGATTTGATAAACTTTATATCAAAGCGGGTTTTCCCTGCTGTGTAGTCACATCCTCGTTAGACTTGCATTGCATTTTTTTGTCATAAAACTTTGGAACTTAGCATTAGCATTAAACTGCCAAACCACTAGTTTTATGGTAGAAAGATTTGCTTTAGACTTTCTCCTCGAAATTAGTTTCTGCTCTGAGGATAAATTCTACTCATCATGCTGTCCCATGACTCAATTCTGGAATGTGTGAAACAGCTACTGAACCTGTGCAGAGCAGAACAAGAGGTGGGGGGGAATGAGAGAGAGAGATGTTTTTCAATCCAAGAAATATCAAATCAGACTGAATCCTGACAGAACAGTCTGTACTTGTTGTAGCCCAAAACTGCATTTTTTCAGTGTTGTAGAAATGAAGGCTTTTAAAATTTTTGCTCTGCTATAAGTGCTCTCCAAAATGCTTTACATGTTCACTCATAATTAAATCTTAAGGAACTTACTCCTAGTTAAGTGGCTTTAGGATTGCAGCCTGAATATCCTTCAGATTACAGTTGCTTCACACAAAATATCTTCCAGGAAAAAAGGAAATAAAAGAAAACCTTACTATAAAGAACTCACATTTTTGACAGTTGTTGATGGAAAGAAACAACTGTATTGCCCACAATTCACTGATTCAGTATACTTGTATTCATTAGCAGCTTTATTATTAGCCTTCCTGAAATGACAGACATTTAGGAATTAGGAAGCCTTTACTATCCACCTGTCAGGTTTTTTTGTCAGATTCTGACTTCAAGCCATAGGTGAATTTTTTGTTTCATATCTTATCAAATAAATTGGACTTAATGGCCTTAGAGGCCCCTTCCAATTCTATTATTCTGTGATTTTATGATCATTTGGATTTTTCTGCTTCTTTCTATTCAGGCTGTAGTACTCTGACTTAGACTTAAATGGCAATTTAATATCACCCTAAAAATTTACTCTCTTCAATGTAATCTTAAATAAACTAGATTTTTGAGCTTACTAATAGTCAGCTAAACTATTAACCTTTCCTGACAACTTTCCCTTTTCTGGTGTTACCTTATAAAAGGTAATAGACATGAAACAAAATAAAAAAGGACAGTCACTATGATGTCATGTTTCCGTGTTTCCCATTTTTAAATATCCACACGCATGATGTGTTGAAAAATCCTGTCATTAATTTTTTATTCTCCAGAATATATACAGTATATTAAAGGAGTGATAACTATATTTCATAGTTACATGTTACCCCAATGTATAAATGATAATCATGATTGATATAACTCATAATAGTCAATAGACCCAACAGATAAATGCTGAAATTGCACTTCCTTATTTTACACCACTTAAGGCTGATGGTATCATCGGCCACAGCAATTTTTGGGGAATAGAAAAAATTCCAAACTCTTCCACAGCCTACCAGAATATCCCAAGGCTCCTGTGCGATCTCTTTTGTCTGGGAGAGAAGCCACTGGAGGCCACTACACAGGGGAAAGTCCTTAATTTCTGAAAATTGCTGCTGTCCTACATGTGGTGGATTTTTTTGGCGGGGGGATTCAATATTCCGTTCCTTATCCCACAGCCCTGTATGGCTTCCCAATGGTGAAAGTAATCCCACAAGATCCTTGGACTTTCAAAGCGAGGTTGTACATCCTGGAAGATCACTGTGGCTGATGACTTCATCAGCCTTACGTGACACAATTAAAGCAACATGATTTCAGCCAATAAAAAATAGTTACAAAGAGTTTTTAATAAACACTCATAATTTAAATAAGGTACACAACTGAGGGGACTGTTCTGAGACAATTACGAGCAACTTTTTCTGCATTACTAGTTCCATCCTGTGATTATGTCTGTGGTGGTGGTGGTGGATTGGGTGGAGGGGAAGCCTATCTGCATATACTGTATATACTACTGCTGTCAGAAAATGCACACATTGTGTGTTCACACACATGTGTATTCTCAATTTCGTACACACAACTTCATTTAAGTGCTTGCTCAAATTTACACAGAGAAATGTTCATATCCATCACTTACCATGCTGGGTATAAATGCACATCCACATAAACACAGATATACCTATATAGCCTTTTTGTGCTTGTATATAATCTAGAAAAGCCCCATGCACGTTCATTTATAATGTGTCTTAACTCATGGATTTGAATATACATGTTCATACCCGTACATGGTATCAACACATTCCCACAAATACGTAAATAAAATACATGCTGATTTCTGCAAACATATCACTGCTGCTTTTTAATGTATCTATTTATGTTTTGTTTTAGCAATTAGATACATTGCTATAATTTTTTTTGCATAAGCACATTTCTTTCCATATGTTGTTTCTTCTAATTCATAACTTCTGATCTCATCTACACACTTATCCACACCACTCTCACATTTACCCAGATCTGATCAGAGTCATTCAAACACTGGTTTAAACTTGAATTTGCTCTGACATTCTACCTGAAAGAGCAGATGACATGTTTCAAACTCAGCAGCAGAAGATAACTAATTAAGATACTTCAGACAACGCTTTTCTCTGTTCAGGAGAAGGCATTTGATCCACTACCAGTTCAATGTCCTAAACTGACCAAAAACAGCCAAACAAATCAGTACAGTATGTATTTTCTGCCAAAATAGGAACTAGTAATCTAAAATATAGCCAGTCATTTAACAAACAAGATTGATTAAATAATGTATTTACATTGTCACAGAACATGATGACAGAAATACAGAATAGTACTGGACACACATCAACACTTTTGTCTACAAAATGGTTTCTGCTTATGAGAAAATTAAGGTCAGCAAGGCCAAAAGAGCTATGAAATACATAGGAACAGAAGCAACGGATTTACACTGGATCAGATCACTGGTCCATCTAGCCCAGTATAGACTGGCAATGGCCTTCCACCATTTCAAGAGACTTTTTCTTGCCTTTAAGTGGAGATATTGGGGACTGAACCAGGAAACTTTTGTTTGTAAAACAGATGTTCCACTGCTAAGAACACCAGGCCAATTTTACTTTTCATTCTAAACCTTAGGGCTACTATGAAAACTTTTATAATGTGCCATTTGTAGCTGTGAACTCTGGAACAGACAGAGCCTTCAGCACCTGACCCAGCTACTTGCTCTAGCACAGGGGCTATTCGTTTTTAACTTATCTCTGGTGTCCACCTTATAGTATATTTAGTTAAGCACACACAGTTTGAAATCCACACCTGAAACATCAAGTGTGCGTGTATATTCAGTAGCAACGCAGTCACTCCTGCTTAGTGTAGGAAGTCACTATATGCCTTTAACATTCCTATGTTTCTTTCCTTTAAAGGCTCAGCATTATTTTCTGTTCCAAGATGACTTTTGTCACTTCTCCAGAAAGAAAACTGCACTCAGCACAGACCTGCAGTCCGAATTGACTATGGGTGTGACCAGATGATAAGAAAGGATTGTGTCTGGTTGCACCAAAAAGGGTTGCTTTGCGGGGAGTGATCTCCCTTAAAGTGATCCTTCTGTTCATGGAGGAATCACTTCATCCTGACCTCTCCCCCCCACCTTCAAAAGAGTAACTCTGCTGCTCAATCAAAAAGGTACAGCTTGGGCTTGGAGCATGGTGTAGTTGGCTGGCAATCTCCCCTGTGGGGAGAAAGGCGAGATATATAAATAATTTAAATATGTGGTGTGATTGTTGGGAAATCAGTCACAGTAGACCTCGCCATTTCCAGTCCAAAAGGCAAGTTATTTCCCTGTCTGATTGCATCCTATATCCCTCTTATACCAAGTAGGTAGGAAGCTTTCTAGCCAAGCTTAAGCTGGACCACAACAACAGCATAAACATTTAGTTTTGGAGCAATCTTAAGAGTCCTTGGGAGGGACCCTAGAGATCCTCTATTCCAGCATCCTGCTCACTATAGCTATCTTACAACCACAGTATCCCTAAGAGATAACCATTCAGCCACTGCTGAAATGTGCGTTTTGTGCCATCAAGTCTCTTTTGACTTACGGCAGCCCAAATAGGGTTTTCAAGGTACTGTATATGAAATATTCAAGAAGTGGTTTTACCAGTGGCACTTACCCTACTGCCCCTGTGAGTCTCCATGGCTGAACAAGGATTTGAAGTCAGGTTTTCCCCAGTTTCATTCCCAGTGAGGTGTAATGGCTAGATCGACGGCCTAGGACTGTTGAGAACAGGGTTTGAATCCCCATTTAGCCAGGGAAACTCACTGGGGGAGTGGAACTAGTAAAACCATGGCTTAACTATCTCACTTGCCTTAAAAGCTCTATTAAGAGTCTCACTATAAGTCGCTTCCGACTTGACAGCACAGAACACACACACGCTCCCCAGTTCTTCCAGTCTGTCGCTCCATCCACACCATACTTGCTCTGGTTGCTTAAACACCTACAGCAATTTAGAACCACAAAACTCCGAAAGCAGTCTCTTCTACTACAGAAAAGTAACAACCGCTTTAGAAGTTTTTTTTTTTCTGAAGTTAAATGCAATTATATTTCCTTGCAATTTTTATATATTAGTTCTAGTTCTACCCTCTGAAGATGTACAATAACATGCCTGTTTCAATCTCTGCACTGACAGCCCTTTGAATATTGGAAGACTGTGACCTTCATTTTGCCCCTTAACTTCCCAAATGTACAAAAAGTGTCTCTCTACACTGCACATGTCTCAGTCCCTTCAGAATATACGCACCACACATTGTCACTCTGTGGCATTGGTGGCTCTTGGCTGACTGGAGGGGGCACTTCTCTCAAAATCTGGGAGTGAGCCACTACCCTCAGCTCCAGGCCACAACCTGCCCCTTACCAAAACTAATTAGCATTTACCCTCACACACACCCCACACATCCTGGTTGTGCCCTTAATGCACAGTAGCATCCACACTTCCATCCCAGCCCCCCAATTTTTAATTATTTGTTTCTGATTTTAACCACTAGCCATGAGGGCAATGAAAAAGTTGTGAGAAGTAGCTAATCTACACCATTTGCAGTGAACAGGGAGTAAACAAATGCAAATACAGTACACGCTTATTAAGGGGCATGGCAGGAGGACCAAAGTTTTGCATAAACACTGTTATCCAACCCCAACCCCTAAAAATCATCCTGTCTCATTCTCTCTCCCAAGGCAGACCCATCACCTTCAAGTGCAGGTGGAAATTCAGTCGGGAGCTTTCTTCACAACAGTGATGGACAAGCTTCGCCTGTTGAACTTTTTATTATTATCTGTAAGGTGTAAAAAGAAAGCCTTCTCAGAAGAAGGGACAACTATACTCAGGAAAAGGGGTCGTCCTGCTATAGTGAGGATAGTGATGACGACGACGTATCACTCCCACCATCGACAGTGAAGGTGAGAGAAGGCTAGAAGCCTTTCTCCCCCCCCTCCAAAACTGCCCCTTTCTCAGAGATCCAGCCCAGTTCCAGAACTTTTTCCTCTGGCCGTTTCTTCTCCTTTTCCCTCTTATCCACACCTCCCTTTCCTGCCCCAGCCCAAATGGGAATCCTGGAAGCAACGGCGGCCCGGAAAGCATCACCCACCTGCGGCTGGATCCACGGGGCTGGGTGCCCGACGGGGCTTGGTCTCCGGCGCAACAGCCCGGGCTGGCGCCCCCGCGGGCGGGAAGCGCTGCCTCGACCGAGAAGGGGCGCGGCAATGTCCGACTGAGGCTAGTCTCTCTCCCTCCCGCTCTCCCGGACTGAGACGCTTTCTGGGTCCTGGCAGAACGACCGGCTCGCTCGTTTTCCCTCCTCCAGCCTCGGTGCGCGGCAACCTCGAACTCCTGAAGGGCAACCAGCGCGCCCGAAGTGGGAGGAAAGAGTCCCTGGCTGCGTCTTCCCGCCAGTTTAAGAAGACGCCGGTTGCGGGGGATTGGAGTGCGCCGACGGAGGCGGTGAGGGGGGGGGAGGAGAACTAGAAGGGCGCCCCCTTTTCTCCCTCTCGCCCTCGACACGCATACGGACGTTCACCCCCCACACGCAACCACACACACACACAAACACACACCTAAAGGACGCACACAGACGCACATGCCAGCCCTCATTATCGAGTGCCCTCCAGAGTTAGGGCAACGTTGCGAATCAAGACCCTCCAAAAGGCTCGGTCATTTACAATCCTGCTTGCAAAAGCTCTTTCGGCGCGAAGTCTTCCTCTTTTCTTACTGCCTTGCACGTTTCCTAGGTTTATTGTTTTTGCCAGTGAGTCTTGGCTCCTGGTGATATGCCCAAAGGAGCGCAGTCTTCGTTTAGTCACTCCATTTCTAGCCGGAGTTCAGACTTGATTTGACCTCCAACGCCGCTTGCCTGCCTTTCTAGGGGTCCATCATACAGTATCAGCAAACCCTAAAAATCATAACAGTGTGCTGTCAAGTTCATTTCAACTCAGAGGGACCTTTTGCAGAGTTTTTGAGGTAGAGAGTACTCCGAAGTGGTTTACCGTGGGGGGTGGCTGGGACCTTTTGCAGAGTTTTTGAGGTAGAGAGAACTCCGAAGTGGTTTACCGTGGGGGGTGTGAGGGTGGGACTGTGCAGCTTGCCCAAGGCCACACAGTCTGGCTTTATTCATAAGAATCCCGGTCCCAGGTGGGAATCAAACCCCACAGCCAGCCAACACAACACAAGGGAAATATACATGCACAATTACTCCTTCGCCTCACACACTTACTGTCACCATGATCATACCAAAGGTGGCCCAAGCCCATTTTCTCGTGGGTGAAAAACAAAGACACTCCCCTCTCGCATTGCATGTACAAAAGCTGGCTGAAGTCTTTCTTCAGCACACATGGTGAGTCTTTCTTCAACACACATGATGGGATGTCTTCCACCTCATCGGAAGGTGGGAAGTTAAAGTTGGGAACCACAGAGCAGGCCTCACGGCGCTCTCTCTAAAGCACCTGGATGTCACTCCCTAGCATCTGCTGCCTGGGACAATCGTTTCACTAATGATAGGATGGGGGCGTAGTGGTGCAATGTGTACACTAGATGCACATCACACTTCAGAAGAAAAAAGTTCTTTATGGCCATAACTGATTCTCTAACAAAAGTAATATCTACATTTGAAGCATGTGCAGTTTTACACATACGTTCTACAACTACACATACATAGTATCAGTTAATCATGATATATGTACACCCAGCTATACACCAAAGAACACAAGCAGTGCATAGTATAGTGCCGAATCCTATGTACAGATACCTGGTACATTCCATTCAACTCAGTGCTGCATATTTTGGACTGGGAAAGTCCTCCCATTTCTAGCCAGATGGAACTCAACTACTATAATACCTTTAGTTAGAAAAGTAAACATCATTGCAAAAAAAAAAAAAGTGTTACCATTTAAACTGCCAGAGTGAATTCAAAGAAAGAAAAAAGTAACTAGCCTCTGCTTTTTAAACTCCATCTTCTGTGCTGATGACAAATAATAGTAAAACATGAAAGCCTCTTCATCACCTAATTCACTTGTCATTACAGTCACCATGCTCCTATTCTGCAAAAATGTTATGTCATTACATTTCACCACATTTACAGTCCATTGTACCATATTTCCCAGTCCACTTTGCTGCTACAGGGAGATAGTACAAAAACTAAGGAAGCAAACTGTCACACTGTCATCTGCAACATTGTGAGGGGATTGTGTTCAGTTCTAGTAGGAATGCACTATTGGCCACCCTTTGGGCAGGACAATTAAGGGAGTCTTCTTAGTACAACAACAAAACTGGTTGTTGAAATGAAAAGGTTTGGGGAAAATCATAATTGGGGGAAAGTATGAGATAAGGTATAGGAGAACATCATTTGGATGTTGAAGACTTTTCCTACAAAATCAATCCACAACTTGAACCTTAAGGCAGAATACATAATGTCTCAAACAGTTCTTAAAAATGGGAAAACATAACTTCTAAATGATGGTAATACATATCATAAGCAGATGTAGAGGAAGACGGTTGAATGATAATTAGATGTCTGAAAATGCATGTGTAATTTTGGCCTTGGCAGACATGTGCGCTGTTGATCTCTGAACCCACATTTTATAAGTCTCACACCAGGCATATTCTTCCATCAGCGTTTCTCTCTGTATCAGTTATAAACATAGATGCATCCAATTTATCTCTCACACCTACCCACTCACATTTCTACTGTCATGTACATGTCATTCACACACAAAGAAGTCTGTCATGCCCATCAACAGTCAAATCCATTCTAATGAATCTTTCATTTACCAACCCCATACAGTACAATTATTTCTATCTACCTGGAAGAGGCCCTTTACAGGGAGGTGGGTGGCTCCTGGTAAAATACTGCCCCTATTTAGTTCTAATCATAGACCTCCTCTGGGCATGGAGTTTGAAGAATTTTGTGGGCCACTTAACTAAGTGCTCTGTGTAAGAAATATAGAGCCAAAACAGAAAGAGAGGTGCATATGTAGGGCAGTGGTTCCCAACCTTGGATCTCCAGATGTTCTTGGACTACAATTCCCAGAAATCATGGCCAGCACAGCTAGTGGCTTCTTGGAGTTTTAGTCCCAAAACATCTGGGGTCCCAAGGCTGGAAAGCACTGCTTTAGGAAATTGGTTCCAACTGCTCTTACACTGTTAGGAGATTTATTCCAATGTTCAACCATTGGTAATGCTGGTGAATGTGTCTGAGCTATAAGAACTGCCAACAGTTCCACACTGAGATAAAATATTGTATGAAACATCCATAAGAGGTTTTCAAAAATTTAAAATGTTTTCTGTTTTTCTTTCATAACTGTGACTTTTGTTTGTGAAACATTCAGAGAATCTTTTGCTGAGTGGTACTGCAAAAAATATGTAAATATGTAAGAAAGTCTATACTGGTTCTTTTGAAGTGGTCTGGTATGGGCTAAGTAGGGTTGCTTGGGTTTGGGCAGAGATGCAATATGCCATTTGGTGCATTCCTTGCAGCCAAATTACATACTGGAGTACAACAACCCTATTAATCCAGCTCCTTGTGATCTCCTGAAGTGGCTTAATAAGCAAGCCACTTCAGGATAGAAACAAAGTGAACACTTCCTCTGCTCCTCAGCAGAGGGGCAAGGCAAATGAAATTCCACGGATTAGACTGCGGAGAGTTTCTAAACCAGCCCTTCAGATAAATCAAAGAAGATATTATTTTTCTTTTAAAAACGGGGGTGGGGGGGTTTGATGCAGCACCTCAGCAATAATCTACCAGAGTTTTAAAATAAATTTCACTTCCCATATCCCTCCACTGAGGAGCTGAAGAAATGTTCTATTTGCTGATGTCGTGAAATGGCTTGCTTGTTAAGCCACTTCAGGATATCGGAAATTTCAATCAGAAGGAGACTTGATAGCTGAAGAAGGCGCACTTTTGGTCTATTCTGAGTGATAACACATGCTGGAAACAGACCAAAACAGAACTATCCTACCAACATGAAAAAAGTAAAAAGACCAGCCAGGGACTTAGAAAGGTGTGGTTAGGACCACTTTGGGGGTGGTTTAGTTTGCTCCAGCAATTATGTTACGTATGTAATAACTGGGGGGGAAAAGAGTGAACCAACCTACCCCTGCAGCAGCAAGCCAAACACGGCGGGGGGGGGCTAGTCTAAGTTAGTAAATAATTTGAAAATGAAAGAAGAAAATGTTTATAGGTTAACCAGCTCATCATGTTCCAGAAACTCATGATCCAAGCTGCAGTCTGGAGAAAGTTCCATTTAAATATCAAAGTAAGATGTGACTGTTTTACAGGTTAATAAACATAAAATGGCCAAAGAGGTGCTATAGTCTGTAAATGGGAAGCAGAGTGCTAATGTGAAAACGGAAGTGCTCCATATATGTGATGAGTACCTGTTTCCTTCTGTGGAATGTCAGAGGGTTCCCCCCCCCCTTCATTCACTCTTATACAGATGTAGATGTGATAAGATGGGGCCCTATAGATTTCCACAGGACTTTTCCCAAGCAGCTAGTGGTAAGGGATGCTTCTAATACTACCCTCTGGAGCCATCAGAATGGAAGGGTGCCATCCTCAGCCAATATCTGATGACACGGCCTCTTTGGTATTTGATAATGTCAAAACCTGTAAGGATGTCTAGAAAAGTGACTATAATTTCATTTTCAGCTTCCTGAACTTATATTCCTTGCAGGTTACTAAGCAGTCCTCAGAGAGTGCTGAATCTCAGAAGGAATGGATCCAGGCAGACAATTTCATTGAGGAGTTCCTGGAACACAGAAGCAACAGTGTGATCAATTACTGTACTTTAAGAATACATTTAGAAACTAGGGGAAAAAAATCTCGACTTCATAAAGATACAATACAGTACAGTACAAGGCTTCTTCCAGAAGTACTTCTCCTTGCATTATCACCGACATTATGTGGCTATTCTGGCTTTTTCTTCCTTAACAGTTTTCTGTGATTAAAAAAAGAGTGGAAGAGAGGGGAGAGAGAGAGAGAGAGAGAGAAGAAATCAGTGGGAAAACATGGGAGTAGTGCAATTTGAAAATCATAATTTCTGCACCGCCGCCATCCCTCAGTAAAATTGTGAATAAGGCAAGGCAGTTACTGGCAAAGCAACTGAAAGGTCATGTCATTCTCAACCTGGCTTGTTGTTAGGATAAAATGGGGAGAAGGAAGGGAAAAGTCATATATTTTATCTTGAGCAAGAAACATATACAACTAAGATAATGAAGAAGGATCCCTTTTGGAAGTACCTGGAATCTCTTTGAAAGAAATGTAGTGATTTCCTTCTTTAATTTATTAACAATGTGCTATCAAGTCAATTCTGACTTGCCAAGACTACAGAGACTAGATCTTCTTTTACAATGCACAATGGCTCTATACCTTTGGCTCTGCAGCCAGATATCCAATTCATCAAGCTATCTAGCCATCTAACTTCCTTCCCTTGGAAAGAGAATTTCTGTTCTCTAGGAAGGAAATCCATGACCATCTTTGCACAAAATGTTCCTTTAATATCTCCAATTTTGTTGAAGAGATCTCTCATTTTTCCCTTTCTATTATTTTCCTCTATATCTTTGCACAGTTCATTTAAAAAGGCCCTCTTTTCTCTCCTTGCTATTCTTTGGAAGTCTGCATTCAGTTTTCTGTAACTTTCCCTCTCCCCCTTGCATTTTGTTTCCCTTCTCTTCTTTGTTTTCTTGCATTTCTTTTTCTTTGGGATGTTTTTTGTTGCTGCCTCCTGTACAAAGTTATGAGCCTCCATCCATAGTTCTTCAGGCACTCTGTCCACCGAATAGAGTTCCTTAAATCTGTTCTTCACTTCCACTGTGTATTCA